CCATATCCACAAAATCATGGCCAAGAGCAGCATTCAGGCATTGCCCCGTGTCTTCCCACAGGAGTTCTGGCTTTCCTCTTGCCAAGCGTGTGTGTGTGTGACCCTGCTGAGTGGCTCCTGGGGTGGTGCAGTCCAGAGGACCCCCTCACTGTGACCAGACATCGCACACCTCAATGCCTGTCACTGAAGAGGGTGTCCTCTCCCCACAGTGGCTTCCCAGTGTCCTTGTTAAAAATACACAGACCACATGTGCTTGGCTTCCTGTCTGGGTTTTCTGTTTTGTTCCATTTATCACAGTGTGTGTTCAGATGCCTGTGTCATACTGTTTTGATGCCAATAGCTCTGGAATGCAGTCAGCAATCAGGAAGCAATGCCCTCACTTCACTTCCCTTTCACAATGTCGTTTGACCATCTGTGGTCTTTGCTGCACCCATATGAATATTAGGGTATTTTTTTTTATAGTTCTGTGAAAACATCACTGGAATCTGATAGGGATTGAATAGAATTTAAATGTCACTTTGAGCATCAGGGGCGTTTTAACAATATTAACTTTTCTAATCCATGAGCAGGGTATGTTTTTCCATTTATTTGTTATTTTCCATTTCTTTCATCAATGTTTTATACTTTTCCACATATAGGTCTCTGACTTCTTTGGTTAAATTTATTCCTAAGCATTTTATTATTTTTGATAGTCATAACTAGTATTGTTTTATTGAAGTGTTTTTAAAATGTACAAAAACTGTACCTCAGTTCTAATTTTTAATAAATCACGCTTTTTTAAAATGGGCCTGGGCTGGGCAGAGTGATCCGTACAGAGGGGATTACAGGGACCACGAGAATGGAGCAGCAACTGGGAAACACGAGGTCCCCTGGGGCCGGGGTCTTTGTCACCAGGGGAACTGGGGCTTGTGCTTCCATCTGTGAATCCTTGTGACCTCAGGCAATTTTAAAATTTTTCTTTGTCTCTGTTTTCCTTTTGTAAAGTGGACAGAGCACTGATTTGCTGGAGTCTCTTACAGGATGGCTCTCAGGCACATAACTCTTGGGCTGATAACTGATATCGGCACAGGTTGGCTGTTGTCATTACGACAGTGGGTTGTTTCCCTTTATTATCAGTCCGTGCTTACAGCAGGACAGTGCACACTCCGAGTGGACTCGGGTGTGTGTACTAGTGTCGCGAGCCGCGACGTCAGGATCCTGCCAGCAGGCCCTAAACCTGAAAGGACGAAGACAGAGAGACGGGAGGCACCTTTCTTCTCAAGTTCCTTGCTTTATTACAGAACCTCTTCCTTTTATACTCTCCAGCTGCATGGGAGCGAGGGCTGCACGGGAGCGAGGGCTGCACGGGAGCGAGAGTACCGCCCACACATTCCAGAGGGAAACAATAACCACCATTATGGGTTACATCTGCTAGGCAATAGATCAGACCACCAGCTGAACTAGCCCGTTGCTATAGCGACGGCACGTCCACACTGCTCGGGTGACTCACAGGTCAGTATGGCTGCGCTCATGTCGTGTTCCTTTACAATGCTCTCCATACACTAGCACTTCTCCATTCCTCCTGCATCCCATCTTCTCCTCTCCTCCCTCCATCTCTTGGGCCTTTTCCCGTTTGACAAAGATCCATCTCCCTACTAGCTATGATTTACCTTTCATTTTGCTCTTTAATTATATTTTGGTTTTCTCATGCAATAGAAACCATTAGATATTTAAGCGTGTGTGTCCGATTTATTTCGCTTAATATGGTCTCAAGGTGCCTCCACTGTCCTACAAATGACTCAAGTCTGTCCTTCTTTATGGCACAGTAGTGCTCCACTGTGTGTAAACACCACGTTTTCTTTATCCGTCCACCTGCTGCTGAACATGTAGGTCACTTCCAAGATTTAGTGATTACGAATTGTGCTGCTATAAATATGGGTGTGCTTGGATCACTGTAATAAGATGTATATAAGCCTATGGATGATACCTAGACGGGAAATACATGGGTCAAATGCAGAAAAAAGTATTGAAAGAATCAGAAAAAGCCTTTGGATAATCATGAGATTGGACAAGGTGAAAATTTTAAAAGTTAAAGACAAAGAGTTAATGTTTTCTTTGAAATTAGGGGGAAAAGAATTTGTTTTATGGATTAAGTAAACATATATAAATCCTTACTCTGGTGCTTGGCAAATAAATCAACAAATGCTACCTATAATCATTGATATTATTATTAGTAGATTGCTGTTTGGATTGATCTATGCAGCCTCAATTTAGAATAAAAGTGCTGAGAATTTGGGCTTGAAAAAACACACAGTTTTTGTTAAGGAAACTGCTAACTCCCCCTGCTGGCCTTTTGACATGGACCAGTGGAAAATGTTTACCATGAATTGAGGTTTGCAGAGAAATATCCAGTTCTTTTATCAAACTAAAAAGAAAAGTATTTGAAGGGGTGTGTGTGTGTGCATAAACGTGTGTGCATGCACACATGTCTGGGGTTCACAACAGAATATGGATTCCAAAGGATGTGTAGCAAATGACAAAATGTAGCCACAAGGAGAGGTTAAGAAAATGAGTAAGCAAAAATAGAACACTAATAAAGAACAGAAAAGAAATGAAGATATTTAGGGAGAGAAAATAATAGATTGTACAAACTAGGTCGTCACAAATTTCCTAAGTCCGTAACGAATCACCTTGGGTCTGAAATGGCCTGATCTTTGCAGGAACTGCCTGGCTGCTCTTGGGTGACAGTGAGGGCCTGGGAAGGGCACACGGCACCTGATGCCCTCAACCTCCTTTGTGGCACTCCTGGCCCCTTTAAAATCTCAATCTTACACTATCTTCTTTGCTGTCCCTTCCTCTGCCGGCTGTATGCAAAGCAGCTGGGGCAGCAGTTGGCTCCCAGGGATAGCAGGACCACTCTTTAGAAAGGCTGAGGTCAGAAAACGTTGATGTGAAGCAGTCCTCCCGGTCCACCCTCATCTCTCTGCAAGAGCAAGAGTGTGGCTAATTAGCCTTGGGTGTCAGAGTGTGGGTAACTGACAATCTCGGGCTTGGCTGCCGTGGAAGGGAGAATGAAAGGAGAATGTAACAACCCGAGCCGATGCTGAGAGCCGCCACACAACTGTTTCCAGAATTCCCCGTGAGAGCAGGAAAGTGTTCGCACCTGCGTACACCCACAGCACAGGTGCCATGCGTACAGCAGGCACTGGGGGTGACAGTGACAGAATCATGGATTCCCGAAAAAGTCTGTCTTCCTCCCTGCAACCTGCAAAGAGGGTAAGATTAGGACTGCCAACCAGCTGACTGGAAATGAGATCATCCAGGTGAAGCCAATGTAAATGCAAGCGCCTCGGGGGCAAGGAAGGCTGAAGGCAGAACCCAAGAGATGGCAGCAAGGAAGGCCCAGCTGGCCCGCACGACCCCAAAGATCAAAAGGGCCAAGGAGCCCCGGCAACTCGAGGGAGGAAGCAGGAGGAAGGGGTTCTCCCACAGCTTGGTGGGGAGACCAGCCCTGCTAACACCCTGGCTTTGGACTCTGACCTTCAGAACTGTAGGAGAAAAATTTGATGTTGAATTGAACTCTAGGTTTGTGGCAATCTGTTAAAGAGCAATAGAATCATTCTACAGCAGGAAAGCTCATTAAAACAACCAGAGCAGAAAGTCAAAACCAAGTAGAAGTCAAACAGTCTATATTACAAGGAATGTGGTATTTGTATATGGAAGATATTACAAAATTTTACTGTAAAGTATACAGAAAATCCACATAATTAGAGACATCGTATGTTTTCAAGGAAGAGGGCTAAATACTAGCTCTTAAACTTACAAACACTTCACGTGACCCTCATATCCAACAAGGCCCACTACATTAGTCAGGACTGTTAAATCCAGCTTGCGCTGGAGCTCTGAGAAGTGGTTCCGTTTTGGAGCAAGAGGGAGGGAAGCTGGAAAACACGGAAAGTTCGGTGTCCCCATCAGCCTCTCTGCTGCTCTCCCCAAAGCTGTTCCACTGCTGGTGCTGCAGAGCGGGCTCTCCATGGCTCCGGGGAGCAGGGCCTGGCTCCCCAGGAACGTGGGCTGCACCCGAGGGCCCCGTGCTGGCCACAGCTGGCCCCGAGCTGCTGCGTGTGCCTTCACCCGGCCAGTCCGGGACTCTCACCAGAGCGTGGATAAACAGAGCAGGTGCGTGACCTTTACCTCCAGGAATCTATCGTAGGAAAAACAGATGCAGAAAGAATGTTTAAATGCTTTTCATTACCACAATATTTATGGAAGTTAGGAAACAATCTAGGTTTCCAGTATGAGATAGGAAAGTATGGCCCCTACACCCCGTGAAACTCTGGTTGTCATTACAATATTTCCCCTGAGTTTTGGCAGCTTATTGATAAAATTTAAAATCCACAAAAAACTCATAAAATACTTAGAAAAAATGAAATCAAATCTATATAATAAAGCCTAATCTTACAAAAGTTATATTCGTATAATTCATCAAAACGTCAATGTACTAGATACGAGCTTTTTAAATAAGCAGCCGAAAGTAGGAAATGTCCACCGTTTGTAAATCTGCGCTTCGCGAACTCTGTAAATACCCAATTCACGGAAACGCCCCAGTCCCGCCTCCACCAGCCCTGGACGCTCAGACTGGACCGCGTCGTCCCCAGGACCCGACCGCGAGTCCTGTGCTCCTCTCGAGACCCAGCAGCTAGCTCCTCCCGCCGGCCTCCCGCCTCCAGGCCGCCCTCTGCCCGGCCTCTCCCGCTAGCTTTCCGCAGGGTGCTGCGAGCCCGGCTGGAGGAGTGAATCTTTTGGGGTCAGCAGTTACGAAAAGGGGTGCAAGTCGTAATTCAGCTCACGCAGATGAACAGAGTCGTCTTTCCACTGCCGACCAACAGTTAAGGGCACAGGGGAGCCTCAACGCTAGCTTCCCGATTTCTGGTCTCACCTTTCTGTATCTTAGGCTGTTCCCCAGCTTTCAATGATGTACCGGTGTATAGAAAACCTTCCTCCCCACTATTACTGCAGGACCAAGTTGATTAAAAATAACGGACCTGAAAACTTCAGCCTTCTCTTTGCAAGGAGCCACGAGAGGAGGAAACACGGGAGAGCATGGAAATGGTTTCTTCAGTAAAAACAGACCAACCAAAATACCTGCACGCCCTTGTCAGCCAGGTTAGTGCTGCCGCAACGCTCTCTGGGAATGTAGTTCATCACGTGCCACAGTGCAGCCGTGTGGAGTGCACGACTCAGTAACTTCCTCAGTAACTCAGATCTGTGCAGCCATGGCCACCACCAGCTTCAGAACGCTTCCCTACTCCCGAAGGAAACCACTCTGGCTCTCCTCCTCCAGCTTCAGGCCTCTGGGCAGGAAGCTGCGCGTCCAGGCGCTTCATGTTTCACGCACCTGGAGGAGCGCGTGTGCGCATGCTCATGACCAGCTCCGCGCAGGTTCTTGGGCTCGAGCACCGCCTGCGGCACCCCTGGTCTGCTCATCGAGTGAGTGTGCGTCCTAGATCGCTCCTGAGTGTACGCCTGCATTTCTTCTTGGGGACGTAGCTGGTCATGGCAATTCTAGTCTGACCTTCTAGAGCTGCCAGGCTGTTTCTAGGGTGGCTGCACCATTTTAAATGTGTTGTATAAGCGCTGAGTTTGTTGACTAGTACATTTTATTTGTCCTATGCAAAAACAGTTTAACTCGAATATTCACTTATTTTTCAGATATCCAGTGTCAATTTGGGACAAGTGACAGTCTCCTGACCTCCCCGTGGGAAAACTCCTGGTGCATCCCAGCCTTCCTCCTTGTCCTGCCTCCTCTGCTCTCCTGTAGTTTCAGGTAAGAAACTAAAACACTTTAGTAAAAACATCTGAGTGTGCTCAAACAACAGGCAGGATTTGGCCCTGGTATTTCACTGGCGATCAAGTTTAACATCTTGATACATTTCTGCTGAAGGCATGGAATGTCTCATGCCATCAAAATGCTAATCCAGCTATCTGTTTCCCATTTTGAAAATATTTATCTGTGATCCATATAGGTGGTTGTTATATTCATTGTTTTCAATTAGGATTTTCGATAATCAAAGTGAATCTTCTAAAAACAAAAAACAAATTTGTGAAATACTTCAAATTAGGGAAAATGGTTGAGGGATACCTGTGAATCTATGGTTTGGAGACTTAAATTTACAATTGTTCTGAAAATGAAGGGGAACAGGCCTCTGAAATCAGGCTTCTCAGTTAACGAGACATTAACAATATTCTCAGATTTTAATATTTCCCAAACAAAAACCTTTTCCTGAACCCTGGCTTTGGGGTCTCCTTTGGCCTCACTGCCGTCCCTGCCGGCCCCGAGCTGAGGGTCCAGGGCGGGACAAGCCCTGTGCAGTTGTTTGGAGCCACAGTGTGATGGACAGGACATCTGAAGTGACCTGAGCCCAAGCTCACGGCCCAGTACTCGGCACTAATGATTGCTAAGTTGGATATTATTACTACTGAGAGGGCGCTAAGATTATCTAGATACTCCAAACCTGTGCCAAATAATGGACCTAGCAAGTGAGCGAGAGAAAAGGCCAGAGGATTGCTTTTCCTGGGCCCCACCCCACCCACACCTGCTTTCGATACCCTGAGCACCTGCTCGGCTTCACAAACAGGGAGGAGTGAAATCACAAACCGAAGAAAGAAGTTGGAGTTGTATTGGACCTGAGGAGAACAGCTCCGGAGAGGGGTCCCAAGTGGGAGGCCCTTGGCCCTCGGCTCTGTGGAAATGGGGTGACCGCCTGGGACTCAGGCTTTTCACCTAGTCCTTGACACATAGGTTACAGGAAACGGCTCGCAGAAGGAATTGGTTAATCTGCCTTGTACTTTCCTCAGCATCCGGAAGTTTGGGGAGGGGCTGCACCTCCCTGTAGTAGGAAATAGGCAACTGCTCACATTCTTTCTGGAAATTTTTGTCCAAAGTCCTAGTCACTGTGTCGTTAGTTCCTGCCGGCCTGGCCCCTCCCCTGGCTGCGCTTTACTCACAAGCCGACCAAATGGACTCTTCTGCACTTTCACAGCCTCACTGGGTCCTCTCTGGGATGTTCTGGCGATTTTAGCTGCTACTTCGCCTTCAGTCCCCTTCCTTCACTCAAATTATACTGCATCCACCTTCAGAGAGCTGCCTCCCACAATAGTTCCTTCCTTTGAAGTTGTTTCTCTTCTTCTCAGACACACTCCACAATCGGGTGTCCCATCAGAAGTAGTGGCACCCACGTGGACTTTTGGACTTGTGCCCTTTTCCACGCTTCTGTCGTTTTCCTACCCCAGCACTCAGGATCTCTTGTCTCCGTTCTCGCTGCCTGCACAGGTCGGATGTCTGTTTTCCTTGGGGCCTCTACTTGCCTACACCATGAGCTCTAGTCTGATTTATTTCTCAGATCTCTGAAGATGCCTCTATCACACACTATTAAAGCCAATGGTTTTTCTCTCCTATAAGTATGCACTGAAGTGTGGAGCCCATACTTAATCATTATTTCTCCTTGGGACCAGGTATGCTGTAGATACTTGGTAAATGTGGGGTGAACATAGTGGAGCACACAGGCAGTTGGACAGAGAAGCTGGAGAGGTGGTGGGTATCTGCTCCGCTCTCAAGCATTTGGGCATAAGAACTCCTTAGAAGTCGGGTAATGGCTCAGAACCCCTTCCCAGAAGAATGTGTAATGTTCCTTACCGTAGGTCTGTAGACTGGGCCTTGGGTATTCCGTGCCATGGACTGAGCGTCCTGCCAATGGAGCTTACCCATCATGGGCTCTGCCTGTGTGAACAGCAAGCAGACAAGCCACTCCTTTGTTTAGAAAATGACTCATTCAAACAGAGCAGACTGTACTGACAGGAGAAAGTCAGTTACTGTCATATTTTAACACTTAAACACTGCTGATGCTGCCTAACTCCCTGAGTTCCTAACTTGCATGGCAGAGATAACAGCGGGGAAATTGCACGTGGTCCTTGGTATCTGAAGACACCGCATCCGTGTCCTCAGCTAACCACGATCACGTATGTGAGAACAATGGCACATGCACTGAGCACATGCAGACGTCTCTCTCATCGTTGTGCCCACAAACATGCGTAACAACTTGCTGCATAGCACATACATTGCACTAAGCATCATGCATAGTCTGGGGATGATTTAACATGGAGGGAGGATTGTGTACGTTATCTGAAAACACTGCACGGCTTTATATAAGGATGTGAGCATCTGCGGACTTAGAGCCCTTCTTAAGCAAAGGACAACAATGTCTCCTTTTCCGGATTCATGAAAAGACCTTTAAAGCAGTTATTATCTTTTTTTTTTTTTACTTCAGAAAAGATTTAAATTACAATATAGAGTGAGCCAGCCAATGATAAACTGCTTTCCTAATCACATTACCCTATAATTCAATCAAGCTCAGCTGCAAGTTTCCAGCTTCCAGAGAGTGAGTTCGAAGAGTGTGCTTACAGGAATGTCTCATAAAGTCAGCAGTGTGACAGAGTCCTCTGAAACTTCCTCAAAGTTCACAATGCTTCAGAAAACAGTGCTCAGAACTAAGCAGACTCCCCAAAGATGTAAAAATAGGAAGCAGAAGCACACAATACAATTGTACATGTAACAAACATATTTCAGTATTCATGGGATTTTCCTACTGATTTTTACCCTTGGCATTTTCCTCGAGCTTTCAATTAAACCTGCCATTAATAACATTCTTTTCCAAGTCAAATGTTTTCCATGTAAAATGTTAAAAGCCCTTCTGTGGTTTAAAATATACAGATATTTTAAAACTAAAAATTGTCTAGTCATTCTTCTCTAAGCATTAAAAGCATAAGATAGGTTTATGATATCAAATCTCAAAACTTCAGAAATGAGGCAAATAATGGATTCTGTTCTTTTCATATTGGGGTATAGGAAAGGAAGGTAACCCTAGCCCTCCTGACTATGTCTGAAACAAGCTGCCAAAGGTAGATTAGCAGAAGAAAACATACAGATTTACTGAACATTACGAATGCCTTCAGAAATGCAGAAACAAAGAAACAAGGAGACCAAGCTATTCTTGAGCCAGGCTTGAGCAGAAGCGTAGCTATTGGAGAAGTGACGTCAGGGTGGTGAACCAGGGGATTCAGCGAGCCAGGCCAAATGTTCAGGTTTTCTGTGTCCTGGTATCCTCAGCAATGAGAAGAGTAAGAAAGATAGAATTTGGTACCAGTGAAGTGTCATCATCGTTGTGACTGTACCTGACTGTGTGAGCCTTTGGGACTGGCTCGTGGGAAGAGTTTGGAAAGGTTCAGAGATGCTGGCTGAGCTGGCATGGCTTAGGCTGGGCTCGATGGGAGATTCTGGTCAGAGCTGAGAAGGCCAGAATGCTGATAGAAATCCTGCAGGTAAAGACCAGGCTCAGGAGGTTTCAGCTGGGAGGAAGGACTGCACTGGCAGTGGACTCCAGACAGTGTGTGTTATACCATGGCAGAAAGTTTGTGCGCATTTTGCTCCTGTCCAGAGACTTTGACTGAGACTGAGAGACTGAGAGAGAGCCCCAGAGCACCATGTTCCAGAAGAGCAGCAGCCTAGGAAGTTGTTCCTTAGGATTTGGTTCATAGGCACTGGACCCCTACAGCCAAGAGAAAAGGGAACCTGGCTGCTGCTCCAGCTGGCAGCAGACCTTGGATCATCCACGTGGTGCTGGCTTTAGGAACATGGAGAATGTAGGGAGGTCAGGAAGGCTTCCACCAAGACTTCAGGAGGCCTGGGAGGCCAGGCAGCGTGGGAAGCTGTGAATATGTAGCCAAAAGTGCATTGGAGACTTGAGAAATTTGAAGAAGCTAGAAAGGTGGACCATGTGAAGAAAACTGCAAGGAGAGGGCGCAGCCAACCCCAGAGAAGGCATGGGGGCTACAACCACCCGCAGCGCTGTAGGGGCAGAGCCAGCCAAGCCCTTTGGCATCCATAACTTGCCACAGATGGCGGTGGGATTTAATGTTTGCCCTGCTGGATTTTGGACCTGCTTTGGTCTCATTCCTTTGTATCTCCCTATTTATAACTTTTGGAATGTCTATCTTGTGCCACTGAATGTTGGGAGTGTTTAATTTCCTTTTCATTGATACAGGGGCTTGCAGCTAAGAGTTTGCCTTAAATCTCAGAGGAGATTTTGAACTTGTACTTTTCAGCAATGCTGAGACTGTTAGGACTTTGGCAACTCTTGCAGATGGACCAAATGCTTTTTGCATAAAAGAATGTGCATGAGTCTTTGGGAGCCAGGGGCAGAATGTTATGGCTTGTGTCTGGGTGCCCCCCAAGCCTCATATGGTCCTAGGTGGCTTTTTCAGAGGTAGCTGGATCTAGAGTGTGTCAGTGTGTGAAGCTGGGATTGATTCATGGTTCAGTGCTAGGCTCAAGGGGACTAGGATTAAGGGTGTGAGTGCTGCCCGCCCTCAGTAGTCTGGATAAGATCAAAAGGGCAAAGACACTGGGAAGGCCCCTTGTTGCTTTTGCTCCCCTGTGGCCATTATGAACTGTTTTCCCTCTGCCTTGGACCCAGTTGGCTATGGACTGAAACTTCTACAGACTGAGCCAAATAAACCTCTCCTCCGTAAGCTCTGGGTGTCTGGTAGTTTGTCTCCACAACAAGAAAAGTGAGACAGGTGGGACCTTTCTTTCTTCGGGTACAGAGTGGGCGCACCCCTGGGCAGATGACAGGACCTGTTTCCCAAGGCGGCCGAGGAATGCCAGGTTTCAAGGCAGCACTAAGGGAGAAAGGTGGGAGGCCAGAGGGATGGCCGTGCTGTGGAATCCCTTCTTTCCTCCTGGTTGGGTTCGTGCATTCCGGGACCCTT